CCAAAGAGAGGCAGGAGAGACGGTAGAGGCCAAAGATCTAGCTTCCAGGATCCGTCAGGCCTATGGCCAAGATCCCCAGCTTACGTCTGTAAGACAGCAACAAGAGATGCGCTGTACCGACGGGTTATGGCTGCGAGGCAATCAGGTATATATACCTGCCAGTCTGCGGACTGAGATCTGCCAGTTGGCTCATGACCATCCAAGTGCGGGACACTTTGGTCAAGCCAAGACCCTGGACTTGGTCCAGCGGCATTACTGGTGGCCGGGAATGCGACGAGAAGTACAGCTGTACGTTGATACTTGCCTGGTTTGTCAACAGGTTAAGTATCCTCGCCAGAAGACCCCTGGCTTATTAAAGCCATTGGGCATTTTTGGGGAGCCCTGGACAGAACTGTCCATGGACTTCATCACTCAACTGCCAAAAACTAAGGGAGGTCATGATGCTATCGTCGTATTTGTCGATAGACTGACCAAAATGGTCCGCCTAGCAGCCACGACCACCGAGCTCTCCGCAAAAGGAGTAGCTGACCTGTTGGTGCAGAATGTGATAAGGCACCATGGCCTCCCCTCTCAGATAGTGTCCGACAGAGACGTTCGGTTCACTTCCAGGTTTTACCGGTACCTGGCCGAGAGGTGAGAAATCCAGCTCAACATGAGCACTGCGTACCATCCACAAACGGATGGCCAGACCAAAGTCATGAATCGGATTCTGGAGGATTACTTACGCAGCTATACGCGTTCTGACCATGACGCGTGGGATGAACTGTTAGCCATGGCCGAGTTTGCAATGAACAACTCGAAGAACAGTTCTACCCAAGAGACCCCGTTCTATCTGAATTACGGGAGGCACCCAAAGAGTCCCTTAGCTCTTGGTGTGCAAATTCGGAAGCCTTTAAAGGGCTATGACAATCTGAATGCCCGCGGCTTGGCAGTGGCCATTGAAAGGGCACAGCAGCCTTATTTGAGGCAGTCCGGTATACCCCTCGTGGAGGGATTACCAGCAATGACACGATTTGATCACTGTGTCCAATCAGTGCTGAGAGAGGCCAAGGCGTGCTTGGAAAAAGCACGGGATAGGCAGTCGAAGCATGCTGACCGCCATCGGAGGGATGTGTCATTTAATAAAGGAGATGACGTCCTCCTTTCGACACAACATATCACCCTCAAACACCCTGGAACTCGAAAATTATTACCGAGGTGGATTGGGCCCTTCACCATCCTCGACCGGATAGGTTCTGTCGCATATCGACTAGAACTCCCGGAAAGCATGCATAGGATACACCCAATATTTCATGTGTCGGAAATCAAGCTTTATAAGGCAAGTGGCAGAGTACAGCCACCTCCAGTACCTATCGAGATCGAAGGTGAACTGGAGTATGAAGTTGAACGTATCCTTGACAAAAGAATTAAAAAGCGTGGGAGACACAAAAACTATGTTGAGTACCTTGTCAAATGGCTGGGGAATGGACATGAGCATAATAGCTGGGAATCACCAAAGTCAGTTGCAAATGCACAGGAACTGGTTCAAGCATTTGAAAATGGCAGAACACCTGTGATGCGAATGCAAACTGCATAAAGTACGGGACGTACATACTGAGACATGCTCATGTGTGACTATGCTTTGACAGGTTCTCCTGCGATGGGCCCAAAAGAACACTGGGTACACCGCTCCCCGTGCCAAGACGCAATTTGGACACATGAACGCAATGTCCGTTGCGATCTTGAACGGAGAAAGATTGGATCTGGACGACCCGCTCGTGCCGGCGCCTCGTGGAGCTGTGCATGTGCGTGGTCGCGGGCGAGGACGAGGTCCCGCACCAGGCCGACGCACCCCTGCATGGGCGTTTGGTGGTTCCCACTCAAGGGGTCATAGATCATAGGCCGGGAGGTCGAACATTCCAGCCATTTGGCTGAGGAAGAGTTTTAATGAGGGTTGTGAAGACCGGGAGGTCATGTAAAAACAACCACTCTTTCTCTTCACCACTAACTGTGTAGTGTATACCAATTGGGCATGTGGCAAATCGCACAGCCAGTTCTATTCACATACACATAAAGTTTCTGCTCCCATATCCACATATTGGGACGAGGATGCCCCACTCCCTGAGGGGGACGAATGTTATGCGCACCGGCCTGATGTGGGGGACGCCCTACTAATGGTCCTTGGTGTGGGGGACGCCCTGCCCAAGATCGTATTGTATTCCTTGTCCCACGGTAACCATTATACTTATATGGATATAGGAGTAGGAGGGGTGGTCCCGCCTAGGTGCCCTGTAAGGACCTAGGTGCCCGGCGAGGTGGGTCCGCGGCTCAAAGAGGGCAGGAACCCCACACCCACAGACTTTTCGTATCAGGCGCCTACAGCATAGCACTTGGCCCCGCCTTTGCTGGTGCTTTTCTCCCCGCTCAATGGCCAGCTCAATGGCCAGCATCTCCGTCCAGCATGCAGCTCCATTGCAGCATCCACCTCCGGCCTTCCAGTGGCCGCGCCGTCCTCCAAACGTCACAGCACAGCCAACACAACTTGTTCGCCAGGTTCCCTGTGGCCCCACACTTCCATCGCCGGCATCACACTCCCAGCTCTGTGAACCGTGGACCACAATTCCACACTACGCCAATGCAGAAGTCCCCGCGGAAAGTCCCCGGCTTGCCTACTAGCGGGTCGGTGGCATCGATCGTCTTCCTCCGCATCGTTACGCACACCTTGGGCCATGGTGCAGCGGCTCTCACACAATGCCTAGCACCAATTCATGTCCGCACACTTTACAACACTGTGCAACACGATGCAGCACTACTGCGACACTTGCTCACACGCCATCCCTTCCGGTTTGCTCTCGCTCCCCGCCGTCGGACCAAACCTGCTCCGAGCGGCTCGCCATTCACGTCTTCATGCATGTTTTGTTTGCCTTGCAAGCTTGGCCACAAACTCCTTGTCTCCTCGGCTCCTTGCAGCTTAGATGGTATCGCTCAATTCGCCGCAGCACCGTGCTGTTGCTCGGATGCCCCGCTCACCCCACGGAGTGTAGCATCCTTGTGTTGTCCGGTCGATTGTGCCTCCTCAGCGGCGGCAATTCGTGATGTTTGTCACGCAACCTCGTCGATAGTTCTCCTTGCCTTCCGCAGCACCAATCCTTTTGGTTGCTCATCTTCTGTGCCGTATGCCATCGCCCTCACACCTCCGCCGTCTCCATTCTCCTTCGTCGGGTTGGATCAGACCCAGTTTTCCACCGAATCAAGCCGGGATTCCTCCACCGGCTTCCCATCGACTTGGGAGTGCTGTTGCACTGCCATCCCTCATGGTTCACTCCTCTCCCCGTCGTCGGAGCGGTCCTTGCTCCGAAACCAAATTGATACGGGGCCAAAGGCCCCTCACGCATGGACAGGGAATGAGAACGGGAGAACAATGCTCCCGAGTGGTCTTACATTAAGTACATGATATAATAATCAAATGAATTGTTCCATTGTCCATGCAACCACACACTCATCATCTTTGACCACTTAGAAGGTCCACAACACAATCAAATATCATCAAAGGTCATCTAATCTATACATTGTGTCATAGGCGGCGGCACCAGTATTAGTCAGCCACCCATAAGTCCTCCCCGCTAGCACTATCACAACTACCTCCTGGGTACAAACGTCATTCTTGTGCATGGGATACACCATTCTATGAGCCAGAGTGGTGGGCGTTCCCCCGAGCGCTCTCCGGTGAGGCCCCATTGGGCCCCGATTTTATGTTGAATTTTTCTTATTTTCTTCAGCAATCCTTAAGTACTAGAGGATGCCGGCAGTGGATTCCTCTCTATGCTAAGTGACCTCCATCCCTTCCCATGGGTAAACCCCCCTGTCTATGGTCAGCAAAGTTGTTGGGAGTGGATTTGATGCGGGGTTTGGGGGGATTAAGCCTTTGCTATCAAAAATAAGAGCAATTTTGGATTGTCCGACACTAGAGAATGTCACTAACGTCCGGTCATTTATGGGGCTGTGTGGTTTTTATCGCAAGTTCATATTGTGGTTCAGTGAACTAATAGTGCCCATGATGGACTTGACAAAGAAGGACAAGACCTTTGTTTGGGATGGCGAAGCAGAAAAATCATTTAATCTATGGAGACACTCATGGTGACTGCACCAATCTTGCAATTACCGGATTTTAACAGGGAGTTTATGGTGACCACTAACGCATCCAAGGCGTCAGTTGGTGGGATACTGCAATAGGAATTTGGAAATGGATTCCAACTTTGGCAATAGGTTGGCATTGTTTAATCTCTTAGCGTCACATATATGGACTCCCCTCCCTTAACATCCAATTGATGCTAGGCATACCAAATTCGACATAGTGCCTCTCCTTAGAGTTGCAAGGACTCGATATGTGCATCTGTCAGCCTATGAGAGGATCCTGCCAAGCAGAAATCTCCATGCCATCTTCCAATGGGCCAGACCTCATGTTCATCAGGGGGATGTCGATTGCATGATATCTTCAGCTGCTCTGTACAGACTGTCAGCGAAAAGCAGCGTTTGGACGGCACAAGGGCACACTCTGCACTCCAATCCAGGTGATTACACTCGACAATCGTTGGTTTGGCCAGACGTTTTCCATCACTTCCCATCACATTCCTTGCAGCATGTCATCCCGACGCACACTCTGGCTGCATCATTGCGCCGCCACTTTGGAATGCACGCCCTCGCAGGACTGAATACTCGTGGTACAGGAAAAAGAATGAAAACAATCCCGTTACCTCAATACAGGACCAATGCTCTACACAGCCGCACAAATATGCACAAACATTCGTTCGCATCTGGTGGCACCGGGGTTGAGGAGGCACGCACTCTCAGCCCACGCTGCCTGGCCAAAGAAGAAAGAAATTGTTCCCTTTCCCCACATAGCGCCTTCCCCTGCGCTGGTATACCTTTGCCTTTCGACGGCTGATGAATAACGACATGACAATATCCCGCCACGAGGTTCCGCCCTCGAACCTTTCAACACAAGCACTATCTGTGAGGGCTTAGGCGACGGCCAGCGGCTGCACATCCCAGATTTCTTCGGCGTACTGCGAGATGGTGCGGTCTGAGGAGAATTTGCCGCTGCTGGCAGTGTACAGGATGGACCTGCGCACCCATTCGTCCTGATTCTTCCACATGGCATCGACCTCGTCTTGGACATCCAGGTACGTGGCAAAGTCGTTTGCTAGTAGGAACCAATCGTTGCCGACCTGAAGGACACATCACGTGTTGAGCACAGGTAATGTGCTGACAATGGATCTCGAAAGTTAAAACGCAAAACACCAGTGCGTGCACATGTGCAAAACAGGTCAAAGTGCCCGGCCTATGGCGGCCCTTGCAAACGAAGTTCATGTGTTACGGCGTAAACACAGATTTTATTTACGTTTTGACGCGGAAAAATGTAAATGCAAACGCGAACGCAAAAACCTAGTCTGCTATTGTGTATTGCGCCGTGGATAGTCATGAACTCAAGTCAGCAAAACGTAGGCACCGACGCCCAGTGACCTACTGACAGTCAGGCCATTCCACATTGGGCGCAATCATATTGTTGTGCAATGTGTATAGGCCCAGCGCCTGCTTGTGGCCAAGTTGATGCAACAACCACCCCCACAGCCATAGCCACCATTCCCAAATTCGTGAACACTTCAGAATGCAAAATATGAAGAAGCCATTGGTAGCTTGGCTACCACATCCCAATCATACAGTGCTATTGAACATTTGACGATTTGCAATATAGCCCCCACCGCCCAACCCGCACACAGGCACATGCAGAGCTCAATAAAGCGCAAGAAAAGTGACGGCTCCCTTTTGATATCTGTGATCAAATTGATCATCGAAGGCGCAGATTTGTGCCAAGTTCACCCCTCCGCTCACCGTCATGTCATTCACACTGTCGACGAGAGCCTCGAATTTGTCGTTCCCAAAGGTGCCCTTCTTGATCATGTCCATGATCTCGTCCCACCGTGGGTCCGTCTTGAACTCCTTCCTCTCCTTCCTCAGTTTTGGCACGTCTTTCGCATCCACCCCAAATATGAACAGGCCATCTCCCACCTGACAATCACAATGTGTCAATTATGGGGGAATGCCGAAACCTGCTCATCACCAGCGTTTCTGCTCTTGTATTTTTGCAGAACAGCATAGCCAATACCTTCAAGAATCAGCAAGGCAAACCTCATAAACATAACACCTTCTCAGTGAGGTCAGCAAGTCATGGTGGCCATGAACAGGGTCCACATTTGCAAACAAGCCCTTGCAATGCAAAATTGGAGCAGCTTCGACAACCCTCGTCACCAAAAGCAATAGCAGGTGCGGCCAGGCACGTCCCTGCTGCAGACATAGCGTGGCAACAGGGAAGCAATAGCACAGCATCACAACATCTTAGCAGGCGGCAAGAGGCTGCCCTGAAGAAAGCATGACAAGCAAGTGACATGGTTGTCAGCACAAATGGTGTTGATTGTGCTGCCAGGATGGCGCCTACCTTTGCGTCTGGACCTTGGATCGCAGCGATTTCCTCTGCAATCTCAATGTTGGCGCCGTCCATTGTGCCCAGGATAAGGGAGCCATTCATCTGGAACTTCATGTTTGAGGTGCCAGAAGCCTCTGTGCCAGCAGTGCTGATGTGCTGAGAAAGATCGGCAGCTACGAACAAGAGAGAATAGTGTCAGCCAGGGAACAGAATCAGCAAGTTCTGTGGTTCACCTTGCATCATTGGGGCACTTGTGAACAAGGGTGTCCAAACTTGCAGCTCAGGACACACTTGCTAACTGTTGATGGAGTCTCCAGAACACTGTGCTTGATGCCATTGCCAGTAGCATACAGAGATCTGTCACTTCCACATTTACCCTCCCCTGGGGCAGTACTATTCCCAGCTCTGCCATTAACACCAGAGACAGCATTTCCACGTTGCATGAGGTCAAGTAGGTCAATCGTAGGGGCACGACAACACGAACCAACGCAACCTGCATTCTCCCGTAAGCATGTGCTGATGTCCTTGACATGGTGCCAAACTTGCTCAAAACGAAATATTTGCCAGCAGGAGAAATGCTGCTCCTGGCCCCTTATAGGGTGTCAACAGTGCAATAACATGTATGTTGTTTCCCCCTTACTGGTCCAGTAGCCATGTATACTGCCTTCTATTGTGCTTTAACCAGTCGGGTCCACCCGTGCGTCCAGCCATTCTACTGTGTTTCGTTTGTAATGGCCACTTTCAGGATATCAGATTCAGGTCAGGGGCACACTTAGAAGTTTACTGGGTCAGAGCAACACTGCAACGCAGTGTTGAGTCTTTGCACATTCTGTAAAACTGCAAGAATGGGCTTACCTGGGATGATGACCTCAGCAAGAGAGACATTGTAGTCAGGCAGGAAATACAACCTCAGGAGATCCCTCACTTCAGGGTCTGTGTTGATGGTGTCACCCACGGCACCCACCAGACGGATGATATCCTTGGCCCTTTCATAAGAGGAGGCCGCCTTGCCAGCAATAACGCACACTCTTGGCACCACCGATTTGCGTTCCTCGGGGGTCATGGCCTTGATGGTGTTGTACCGCCTGATGACACTGAGGACGTTCAAGAACTGGCGCTTGTATTCATGGATGCGCTTGATCTGCAAAAGCAACGAGCGGTGTCAGGACATGCAGTGCTGGGGGGATATAACACAAGTGAACAACAGCAGGCAGGGCTTCCCAAGCAAGGAAATCAATGTACAGTGGCCTGCATTGGATTGCATGGACTATCTCAGCACTTAGCTTCCCAATTTCACAAAACAGAGGCAAATATGCAACCCAAAACTACAAAACTGCCTCTACCTCAATTTTCAATGGATTCTCAGGTTCCAAAGGGGGTGGTGGAAACCAAGCATTCGGTTTCTAGGCTCGCATTTACATTCAAAACCTTCCATCAGCAGCTACGAAGTACAAAGAACAGTGTTTCACATGGCCAACAAACAGAGCCTTGGGGCGACCAGCTCTAGGATGCTTTGCTGGAGGGTTCTTCCAACTGGGTGTAGATTAACAATATGTGGAATTATGGTGATCAGTGTTACAATTCGATTGTAAACCCAACGTGAGTCACAATGCAGCCGTCCTGCATAGCCGCCAGTTAATCGCAGCTGCCTGGCTGGCACAGTGTGATCCCATTGGGGAACTCTTGAAGCTGTGGTTGATGGGACTCGCTATCCATGAAGGCACATTGGTTCCCACCATGCCCACAAAGAACAGCCAGACAGAGCCCCAACAGAGTATCAGCAGTTCATACATCTTTGGCAAATTCTGCTCAGCAGGTGCTGGCTTGGTAAAACCTGCAAGCACTCCTTTCGTATCGAATCATTGTGTGGCATTGGAACCAGGCAGGGCCTTGCTGGCACTGTGCTCTTGCTGCACATCACCTGAATGTCAAACATGGATGAAGTGTCAACATCATCTCCTGTAAGCTCCCGAATCTTTGCCCCCAGCCTCTCCTTGTTCTTGCGCTTCACTGCGCTCCACTTCTTCCTGAATTCAGCGTCTTCTGCAAAGGGCTTCAGACCCTCCAGCAGTTTGCAGTTTGTCATCCATTCTTGTGTTCCCAAAGCCTCTGTGATCAATGTTGCCAAGTCCGTATTGCTGAACACCAGCCAGCGCCGAGGGGTCACACCATTGGTCTTGTTCTGGAACTTGAGTGGAAAGACACCATGGAAATCCTTGAAGATCGTGGACTTGATGATGTCAGAGTGGATCTGGGCCACACCGTTGACTGTGTGGGACCCAACCACAGCCAAATGAGCCATGTTAACAAGCCTGTGGTGGTGGACAGCACACATTGAAATCAATGCATTACAGCTCTTGAAAAAAAAGGGCAACATCGTGCAACTTAGAGTGATGAGAGGGCTGATGGACAGGCAACACCTGGATGCAAGAGTACTTTGGTGCTGTCCAATGTGGGTGTGCTGCCAAAAGACAAGTTGGGAGCCCTGCATGAGGCCATTGCTGTGCAGAAATGTTGCACTGCACTCAGACAAGAAACTGAAAGTCACCCACACAGCACCTAGGGCTACTTGCACTGTCTTAACTTGCAAACAGGCATCTCTACAGCCAGCATTGCGCCTGACCGCATAATTGGAATATGAAGCTGTGGACTAAGACCTTTTCTTTACCAATCGGCAGTGCACTGCAAGGATACCATGTTCTAGGTCGAAAAAATAAAGTAACTGGAATTCGCGTGACATGGCTGCTTCAGCATGCTTATGACAAGGGCAGTTTCCCAACAGACTATGTCTGGTTGAGCACCTGCAATCTGTGAGCTTCATGTACTGTATGGCCAGCTGCTACTGAGCTAGAGATTCAGAAATGCTCAGGTTTGGCTGGGAATTTGTGTGGCCAAACTCTACACCACCCATTGGCAATCAGCAACACAAGGCATAACTATTCAAGTAAAGCTCTAACCAGTGAACCGTGGGGGAAAAATCGATTCCAAACATGTACAGAATAACACACACCCCTTGAGTGCACATTGAATCACATGCTTGCGCATGGTTTGACATAAATTGCCGTGACATGGACCACGTCCTTGCAACAGGTAGGGCATGGTTTGCTCCTGGAAGAGGGGGCAACTGTTGCAAACATCACTGAATCATGTGTTTCCTGTGTTGATGTCCCCACAAACCCCCCAAAGCTTACAAACACCAAAGCTTTCAGATCTGTCGAGACAAAAGATCAGCTGATCGAGCATCTGATCTGTAGTCATGGCCAGTTTGAAAACGGTCTTGTTGAAGTGAATCTTCAAAGTACAAGTTACACAGAACAGACCCCAAAAGACCAACCTCCCCCTTGGTCTGTGGCAGGAGCTATGTTCGTCAACATATAAACAAAGCAAGACAGTGATCTTACATTTCCTCCTTGTTCCATTGGTTTGGATGTACGATGGCCATCCTGTCAATCGCTGCCTGCTTCTCTGCTTTGGGCATCTCTGACAATTTCTCCTGCGATCGTGCAAGAGCAACAGTGATTGGTGTTCATGCTGCCTCAGTTACAACTGCAGAGAGCCAATGTCATGGTACTTGGGACAACAGGGCCATCCTCTACTCATTCTCTTCTGTCGGGTATGGCTCATAGAGATTCCACAGGGTTCTCCATGGGCAAGGCTGGCTCATGTGTAGCAAGTTGGAAGGCGACACTTTACCATCAAGTGGTGTGTGCGCGGAACAGCATTGCTTGGATGCTGCTGCATTTCTTCATCGGCGGACGAGGTGCAAGGGCTTGATCTGTTGTTTGTTTCTGACAAAACAAAACACCTGGAATTCCTGACACACCATTATGGGTAGCCAAGAGGTATGAACATTATCCTGAATGTCGTATCTCCAATTTGACAAAGTCCAGCCCACAGCTTCCAGCAGACAGAGCTGCAATCCAGATACACAGTTTGGTGGGTGCGTTACACTCTCCTCAAGGCAAAAGTGAACATCTTGGCAAAATGCAGCTACTGCATACAAAAGCCACAAAGGAAACTCCTAAATTTCAACAGTTGGCTACATGACATGATATGAGTGATCGCATTCTTAACAGGCACAATGCCTGCGTGCCATTCTAACAGCTGTAATTGTGCATGGAAGAGGGCATGCACCAATTTTAGCAAGCAAATTTTGGAGACAATGCAATCTTCAAAATGCAATGCATTCAGCACAATGGGCATCCCCACCATCTTACCTCCAAGAAGGCCTGCCATTGGGTGTCAATCGTTTCGATGATTTCCATGTGCCTTGGGAGGAATTCTCTCATCACCTTCACAGGCCATTTCTCCAGTGCCTCAGGCATGATTGTGTGGTTGGTGAAGGCAAACACCTGCGTAGGGGAGGTCGCCATTTCAGTGCACCAAGTCGATGAGGAAATGTGCAGGTGGATGCAGGTATGCATAGTAAATGTGGGTCAACAGAGAGGGGAAATGCTGTGATCTGCAGCAAGCAATGTATCTGCATCTGCATGAACAGTACCAGCCTCACTCAACTTGGAAAATTACACAAATTTTGAACTTGCGATTGTGCCGTTAATACTTGCAGAATGTGTCTAAAGACAAGCCAACACAATCCCAGGACAAGAAAACTACCAATCCGAAGATATAAAAGGCAGCCCTTCTTTGTGCAGGAGGCAATGCCACATCCTACATTATTAATCGGTGGTGGACTGAAGTCCACAGCTTCAGCTTCTACCCTGGCACAACTTACTTTGGTTGTGATACCCCATGCAGCCTCCCAATCGAGTCCCTCCTTGTCAACCAGAAGATGCACCATCTCTGCAATCCCAATGGTTGGGTGGGTGTCATTGAGCTGGAAGCACGCCTTCTCAGGCAACAGGTCGAACTGGTTGCCATGAACTTTCTTGAATCTGGCAAGCACATCCTGCACACATGTATTCCACAACAAATGCCAGTGCAGGTTGTGGACCCAACAGTGACACATGCAACTGTCTCCGCAACTCTGTAGCAACTGATCAGAACTTTAGAGCAATGCAATCCTGCATACAGCAGCAAGTAAAGCACACACAGCAGCCTGGCAGGGTGCTGCCATTGACAAGAGCCTGCCTGGTGCCCATGTTGCCAATGCATGGAGTGGACCCTAAAGAAGGAACCAGAGACCAAACGAATGGTAAGATGGCCACGTCAGAAAGCATTAACCCACCATCCATTGGATGAGGTGCACACAAATGTCAATGTGCAGCCTGCAAAAATTTACGATGCAGCCGCAGCACAAGCAGCAGCTGGCTGATCTTCCTTGGCTGCATTTGACAACACTAGACAGTGCACCGCATTTTCACCTATCAGGACTTCAGAGCAGGTTAACTTTGGTCACATAATTCACCGCACCTGGAGGCTTGCACTGACAAAGAAGTATTGCTGCTTGAGCCTTAGGGCCTTCCCTTCAGGTGTGGAGTCATTAGGGTACAGCACCGATGTGATGGCCTCCGCCCTGCCCTTCTCGTTGTATGCCTGGAAGACAAACAACAGCTAACACAGCCCAATACAAACTCCATAATGCACTGCTGTCAACAGGTAAAACGTTGGATCAACTTGGCATCAATGCAACAGACACATTCATAACAAATGCACACCCTTCACGTTTGTGGACCACCACAGAAGAAAGGTTTCAAACACTGACTGCTTCTCCCAATAATGGGGCAACAGCAACAACACTATTTGCATTACAGGTCGATTCTTACCGACAAAATGTCACCCTTGTTGAAGGCATCAAGGTCGAATTCGTTGACAGGGAGTGACTCCCACAGTCTCAGGTTGCCAGTGTTCTGGGTGTTGAAACCTGGGATTGGCACATCATAGGCCATTGCGATGACCTGCACAGTGACAATCAATCTAGTCCGAACTCGACTTCTCACGTCCCTACCACAGCAAACGGTCTACCCTGCAGCATTTAGCACTGCTCACCACTTTGTTCAGTCCAATACAAGTTTGCAGACTCGACCACATTCCAAATAACACTGATTAAACACGAAGATCATCTGTCGACGGTGCAGGGGTTCACAAAAACTTCCTATTTTTCCCTCTCCCAGTCTAGCCAGTTGCACAGAGACATGCTGGAACATTCTTGGAGCAGCCTGTGTTCTGTGGGAAGTTGCCTTCCACCACTTGAAGACACCTGAGCTGTGAACTATTGACAAACAAAGAGGATGGCATTACCACAATGATTCCGCTCAGATTTTGGGTGTCTACATCGTTCTTGTGTATTGATTTGCATGTGCAGTTGCTATACCAGCACTTGGAGGGCATTATGCTACTTGTGGGCCTGAGTACACATGTGTCCCTATTGATAGGGCTTTGGGCCATGGTTTTTGACAAGCTCGGTGAGGCCATTGTAGACTGACTGACGGTCTGTGTTCAGCAAAGAAACGATACACGATCAGTAAGTTCTACATCCATGCTGACTTCAAGGATGTGTGCACTCATTCATTCAGCACTCCGAGGCATGGGGGACCCACCTGCTCATCTGGAATCCACTCCACAAGTTCGTGGCTACCTGTAACAGTTTTTTTCAGCTTGCCCCCAAACGAAACAGGGAACACGACATCAGGTCTCCTCACTTCCCAGGGATTGCCATCCGTGAGCCACACGTCCGGTACCTCCATCTGCTCCCCGTCCTTGATTATCTGGAGAACAAACAGCCGATAGTTCGATGCTGCCAGCCTGAACAAATACATGGATTCTGAGGTGGTGTCAGCGATGATTTGTTGCACTGTGCAAGCGATGCATGAAGCAAGAGTTCAGATGCAGGAGCCCCTCTATTCAGCAGCATTTCAGGACTGGGTACACCACATGTGTGCATCGGCCATCAGTGTTTCCTACCTGTGAGAGTTTTTTACAACTGGCGATTCGACAAAAAGGCACACAACAGTGTCCATGGTTGGTCCAACTGTGCCTAACACAGCCATTACATACGTGCCCTCCACACCCATAACCACCAGATTCTAATACCTGATCCCAACACCCACCCAGCACATGTGATCCCTCTTTTGTCCATATTCAAAGCCCAATCTGGCATTCAACGCAGCCATATTAACATTGGGCTCGCGTTGTATGCACTTCAGAGGCAGGATGGCACAGCTTTGTCCTATCCATCATCACTGCACACTTATGCATAATGCGCACATTCACACTGTTGACAACCCATCTTTCCAGAGGACTGTGAGTCCAGAGCATCTAAACTGCACATTGTGGAAGGGAACAGAAGGCAACTGCCTGCACCTGTTTAAACATTCCATATTTGTAGCGAATCCCATATCCCCAGCCTGGCAGGTTCATGGTTGCCATGGCGTCAAGGAAGCATGCCGCAAGGCGCCCAAGGCCACCATTGCCCAAAGAAGCATCTCGTTCCTGGTGGGAGCAGAATTTCGGTGAGTACTGTCCTGTGGCACATGAACACTCACTCCCGCGCGAACTCCCTCAGGTGCAAGGGATAGGCCATAAAGGACAAACTACGGAATACAGTATCTGCTCAACACAGAAAGAACACCAAATCATTGCTTTTTCTTCACCACCATAAGCTGCCTCCTTTTTGCCGTTGATACACCATAACCTTCCACCATAATCATCATATGCCCCATGTTCACCTTATTGACCACACACTTTCTCAACTCGTCATTACAAGTGCAATGAAGGAAAAGTTGTGTCTAGCCTCCATACAGTGTCCACAAAAAAGTCAAGCAGAACACCAGAAACCTTGCACAATATCAGGTCGAACTCACAGGACACATTCTCCCAGTTTCTTCGATTGCTCCATTTGCAACAGGCCAACATATGTATGCAGTCCTCAAAGGGGGGGATCCACAGAAGTATTTACAAAATAAGATGCGACAAGCTTCACTCGATGAAGGTTTCAAGGGTGCGAAATGCAAAAGGGAAAGCAATGTGACACAGCCCATTAGGCACATACCTTTTCAGCAAGGGTTTCCAGGTTGTAGCCCAGCATCTTGAGGGCTTGCGCATATGGTTCGTACAGTTCCAAGTTCTGGATGGTGTTCAGCAGCGAGCGACCCATGAGGAACTCGGCGCTCAGGTAGTACACAAACTTTGGGTCTTTTTCCCTTTAGCAACAGGGAGGTTATTGGCTTGAGCAACTGAGCATTGATGAACAACACTCCGAACACATAACAATTCAGCAGGTTCTCAGTGCACTGATCACAAGTGAGTACTTGGTTGTCCAGCACCAGGAAATTGAGGCTGCAGAAGCAACGACCAAATGGGATCTGTGGCAGGAATGGACAGACACAGACATGCTGAGTGTGAGGCGTCTGGCACAATGACAAGTTTGGGTGCATTTAAACCCAAGGCCGTCCCTGCCCACCGCCGCTCAGTAAACATTAATCAAGATCAACGTGGCCGCAGGCGGGCGCGGTGACCACCTCGGCAACGCAGATCAGGCCCCCTGTCTCCGCCTGCATTCTTCCAGCACCAACCACAATAACAAATAGAACTGATTCCATCCGCATCCGGCGTGTCCAACGTCGTGCCTGGTGTGTTGTCCAAACGACAGTGCAGATCTGGGCCGCTTCACACGCCAGATCAAAGACTGCTAATTCGATCTGTGATCCACCTGTGCAGCCCTCAAAGGCGATCCGAAACTTGCGGCCGCGAACCGCCACAGAAAACCCTAGTCGGGAGCACTGCAAACGGCGGGACATTCAGTCCCGCCGCGGCTTATAACAATCGCACAAAAGCTTTGCCACACCCTCGCGCGACTATTCGCGCAGGGACAAACATTGACGGAGTTCGGCGGCTGCGACCGCGCATCCCACACCGCCTGCGGCGATTCAGTTTGCGGACCAGCACTTGGCGGTCCTGTCCCTGCAGTCACTGAAACCAAGCGATCTGCACAAGGATCAGCTCGTTCTGTCCCCAGGCGCCGCTCTGAGCCCGCCAGCGATCGATCGCCCCAGCGCGCCCGCCGAGATCTTGCCCGCACCCGGATGGCGGGAACCGTCGGCCACGCACCTCCACAGGTTCTGCGTCGCAATCATCCTCTCCATCAGGTGCTCCCGCAGGTTCCACGCCAGGCCCTGGTACGCCAGCAGCGCCGTGACCTGGCCCCGGTTCCCGCCGCTGTTGAACTCCACCTTGGCCAGCACGTCGCTGTGCACGGTTTCGGGGTCGGTCGGCTTCTTGGAGGTCTCCGCCCTCTTCCGACCGTTGTTGTTTCGGAACGACACCACGTCAAGGCGCCGCCTCCAGCCGGCGACGGCCAGTGGGGGCAGGCCCACGGCGCGCCTGACGACGCGCGGCCGAAAGCCGCTCGATCTCAGGGGCGGGATCTGGTGCCCGGAGGAGCACCCGACGTTGTGCGGGCGCATCATGACGATTCCCTGCGTGGAGGGCTTGGGCGGTTTGGCGAACGGAGGGGGGCGATGCGGAGTTCGCCGCAGCCGCCGGGCCGGCGCCTCAGCACAAATACGGGTAGGGATTGCCGGCAAGGAAGCAACGGCGGGGGGCAGCAAGGGACTGAACGGTGGGGGCGAAGAGGCCACCAGGTCCGCGAACTACGCTGTGTCGCAGTACTTTGGGCGAAGCGATCCCAATCAATCCGTGACATGTCGCGCTTGCCTGGGTCTGCTGCGTGGTGCTGAGGCGGCCGTGGTGCAGAGCCCTGATGGCAGGGGGGCGCTTGGAAGCGGCCTACTTGGTGCTGTGGTCTTCTTGCTGTCACTACATTTATACCTCGTTATTAAAATATGCTAGACTCCACAAGGGGTCTCTCATGGCCCCCGCCCTAGACCTTACCGACTGAAACAATGGTTTCAACCCCCTCTCTGGCATCAATATGATGTTTTAGGTGCGCCTATGAGTAACAATGCCTTTATTTTTCTATTCACTTTTGATTACAAATATTTGCAAATCTTGCTTATGGCCATATGAATGATCTGAATCACTGTGAATGCAATATTCGATTGGTGTCGAGAAACAGGAATTTTCTCTTTATTTGTCTGCCTAACCATTCTGTTTTGGGCAATGGTGGACAGTCCACGCTGCAGTATCTCATAATCCTAAACTTGTTCCCGAACAAAAGGACATCTGGGGCATATTTTGAACATGGCTATATGCTGTGTTGGCATATGATTAAACTACTGTCTGGGCGTTTGTGACAATGGGGATACTGGGGATCCAAATTGGCACGTGGGTGGTTGTCAGAGGAAGAATAACTAGTCATGCTTCATTGCACTGTTTGCAAGGAAATCTGTGCTAAAACTTGGAGCGACACTAACAAATTCTTCCTCTGTCCGCACTTAAATGAAACAATTTGTTGGGAGTCTGCATTCGTATCAACTACTTGATTGTTTTCTTTGAAAATGCAGCCGCAGCATCTACTATACATGTATTAGTTGCTGCCAAAAATCAAAAGGAACGGTTAAGCACAGCGCATTCGGCAATGCACTGAACCTGTGCCATTCTAGTCCAGAATTTGGACGCTCCGAGCATACCCCGCCAGCCGAAAACTAGGTTCCCGGGTCCAGATGGCCCAACACACACGTGCGGCCCCTTTTTGTGGGCTTCAGGGCACTGGAATAGCAGAGCTGCCAGCCTCGCTCAGGCTCAAGCGCAACGATCGGCACCCATCGCGATGGAAAGCCGGTGGAGGTTGCGGATGGTCGCGCATCTCGCCATCGCTGTTTTGCGGAAATCCCCGCCAATGTCCACGGCCAAGCAAGGACATATCTGGGATCCGCCGATTCTAGCAGGTCTGCTGGCGTCTGAAGGCTAGCCATGGAACAGCTGCGTGCACCAAAAGCTCTCCTTTCGTTGTGGATCTCCAATCAGTGGCCTAGTTGGTGCAGGGAACGCCTCCTCACATGACGACATCGATCCCACCAAACACGGCCGATGGAAGGTATGGATGTTCCATCGGAGACCCCAAGTGGTGTATGGTGGTGCTCTTGTGTTCCGCAAGGGCGATGTCAATTATCTGTTGCGGCAGCATCTCTCAAAGCGGCGTGAACGGCAAACGAAACGCTCCTTGCGGACGATGCTGGGGGCAGCCGCGTCCAGCGATCTGTTTGCTGCTGCGAAGCGAGTTGACCTTCATATTCTTCCAAACCTTCCGTGGTGGGCTGAATACTTGCAGCAACCCTGCCCAAGGCGGCGGTCCCTTGTGAAAACGCCCTGATTGTGAAGTTCGCCGATTTCCGTGTTTCCCATCTGAAATTGAAATGCTCAAACGGCGGTCAAACCACGGCCGCGACCGACGATCGAGCAGTATGGATCTCGGTTCCGCGGCCTTTGTGCTTCGAGAGGAAAGGCATCGCTACGGAATCTGCAGGAAAGGCATCGCGTGCTTCCCGGGGGGGCGCGAGCGTGGAAAATTTGGGTTCTGTGGAAGTCATGTGGGTTCAAAGTACTGCAATATGATCTGTACTTGTCCATTCACCGCAAAAATTTGATAGCAGGTAAAAACTCGTAGACAGTGCTCTGGACAAATTCTCAAGAAAAAATAATAAGTGCTAGATACAAACATATTCTCCCAACCAAATTGTTTTATTTAATTCCGGACAGAGGAAGTACTAATATGCAAGCTCGAGCTCCATGTTGGAGTTGCATTGTGAGGCTGCGTGTGGGCGACGGTTAGGTGGTGCGGAGTGTGGGGTTGCCTGTGAGCACTCCAAGGCGATGGTTTGAGTCATCACTCAACCGGCTAACCTCAACACAGCACTAGTTTGCAGGCTTCAAAGTTATTGTAGTAGTTCTGATATCGAGCCGAACTAAATTGATACAAAGTAAAGTGTGTACATGAATAATACCTAAATGAGAAATGACTCAATGTCCAGGAAATGGTCGCTTGGGGTGCTGACCAAAGCACATTGCCATCGTGTGCTGAGATGCATTGTAGCAGAGACAATCTTTTGAATGTAGTCGTTGAATTGGGAGAAACCACTGCCCCTGCACTCTTTGAACAATGATTAACAAGGCACTAAGTGCCTGGCACTTTGTTGCAAGCACAAGGGATTGCCATTCCCCGCATTGCTTGAATTAGCATGCTCCTTGCACACCATAGCTGGGCAGAGCATTGTGGTGTGGCCTACAGTCAAACTGTCAACAACCACTCAGCCTGGCCCATCAACTCTGCCATCCGTAAGTCCATCAAAGCAAGTTCTCACACCTTGGCACGCACATGCCATCCCTCCTTCACAGCATTCTGCATTCCTTGCACACCGCAACTGGGTAGAGCATTGGATGTGCCCTACAGGCAGTCTGTCAACAACTAGTCAGCCTGGCCCCTCAGATCTAACATCTGTGAATCCAACGAAGTCCATTGTCAATGCAGTGCCTCTGCATGCCAATCAAGGCCGCTCTGGACTGCACCAGCGCCCGACGCTCCAAATGCAACACCATGCGCACAACACCCAAACAAACAACAGCCGCTCGTCAGAGTTGACATCTTCAGCAAATAGCCTGCTGTGTGAATAATATAGAGGGGTATAGAATGTCTGCTGTGGCGATTTCATGTGCCTTGTTGGAGCAGCTGTTGAAGAGTCGTTGAGATACACACAAGCCTTTGGCGACCACTGGCAATTTAGTCTCCACCGGATATGGTGGGATCCATTCGCCAAGCTTCGTTTTCTTCTGTGCGTTTGCTGGCCGTTGTGCATAGTCTCCAAACAAATTTGCCTCCAAAAACAGACATATATGTCTGCTTTTCGCAGGATCGTAGGTTGCCATCATATTTGCAGTGCCGCCGTGAATACAATGGCACATTGGGCATCGGAGATGGCATTGATTGATCCTTCCACAAAAAACCCGCAACAGCAAGACCTCTCCCACACAGCAGTGCCAAACGAATTACAACTTCACATCGTTGAGATGTGCTGCCGCCCCACAGCAATATCCCCTTTATTCTTGCAACCAAAATAGGACACCAAAACTCTGAACATCAGGCGCTCAGCAAAAGCCACAATTCTCCAATCTGCCACCATCACATCACCCCCCTGACTCGTTACCACACGGTACGCACCTGTGGTGGACAATGTGCCCATCCCACAAGTTTCTGGGCGTGTTTCTCAAAACTCGTGCATTTCCAAAACTTTCACATGTTCAGAGAACAAAGTTCACGAACATTGGCTGTTAGCTATTCACCACCACAACCTGCACTTCTGAATGTTGCTGGCAGGAGGTCAGTGTCACCGGTGCCCACCAATAGAAATCAATCATACTAACCAAAGCATGTAGACCACTGGCTTCCTGCACTGGCAACAGTACATGATCCATACCAAAAAGCGCTTCAACTATTACGACGGAGGAATGGCCACTGGATCAGATCGTTCATGTTGTGCTTCGTGTTGGGCTCCAGCCGTGGTCACCTCGGTGATGGCTTCAAGCAGTGCTGCCACTTCGCTTGAACCACCCAGCGAAAACCTTGCAAAAACAGCGACATGCCATCATTCCACCGAGCATTTAGACACCAGTGCAAAGCTTAGTCCTTGTGCCAGACTGCTGCACGAGCAACATCGGCAATGGCAGCCCAAACACATTATCTACCTGTTCGATCGCCAAGGTGCACACCAGCGACGCATCGTGGGTGTTGATGCATGCCACCAACAACAGAACTGTGGTGTTTGGTTGTGAATGTTACAAGCAGGCACAATGCTGACCTGTGGATTTTCTCACAGATGTGACGCGCACGTGGATGCACACAAAGATCAGATAGCAAGTCTACCCCTGGTTCCCTCAACATGTTGGCGACCCTTTCATGTGCTGCCCCAAGGTGCTGAAACTATTGTCCATGATATTGATGAGAGGCACGACTTTAGCTCACAGATTTCCTGGGTGCTGACACAGGTTTCCTTCTGCCCAAGCAGCTACATGCTGGGAACACTCCCTGCAGCAGCAACCACCCGGAACCACACATCACAACTATCCGCACGTCAACCTGCCTTGAGATTAGTCATCCCGTGCACCTCACCTTGCTTTAGACCCTGCACGTCCTACTGTGCAAGTGAACAAGTGCTTTGGGCTCAACATGGTCTGTTCCTTCGTGCTTTGGGCCCACAGTGTGCCTTCGTAGCTGACCGCAGGGCTGCCCATCAAGGCTGCATACGCCTCCCCTGGCATTTTGCTGCCGCATTGTGCATCGACTGCATTGGGTCGTAGGAAGTGCAGCGACTTCTCCAAGCGCCCCTCATGCAAGGTGTTCTCGCCCTCAAAAAAGGAGAAAATGTTCTCGTCCTTTCTCAGAAAATGCCCTGCCAGAGAAACTGAGGCAGTTACGACTGGTGCCTGTGCCAGGGGAGTGACAAGGACAGCACTGGAACTGCCATGCAGCAGGGCATATACACAATTCAGGGATTGCCAAGGCGCCAAGGTCCTGGCAGGTTCACTCACAGAAAGCCCGCGCTACTGGAAGCAACACTGATGGTGCTTCTTCCAATATGTTTCACGCACGCTTGCTGCTACACAAACAGAAACCTGGACAGCAATTTTGCAAGCAAGATGCACACCACCAAACAACTAGCTTGAACGTTCTGCAGCTGGTGCAATTACCAGCAAACTTTCCAAGCATGCTGCAGCACCACCAGCGACTGCCTTCATCATGAAGGCAACTCAAAACGCGCCACAACAGTTACACATGGTGGTTAAGGTTCAAAAGGGGGTCGCCATAATTCCATTCACCTTTGCCATGGCAATAATGCTCCCCCTGGACTTCATAGGAATAAGGAACAAGAGATCAAGGCAGGCATGTACTGGCGCATTACCAATTCACACTTGGTAGTGACAATGGCGCATCATCAGAAAAGGTGCCCTGGCAGCTTCTGAACAATCTTCGAGAATACACAAGTCTGTGTGCAGTATCTAATTCGTGGCTGGCATAGCTTAAAGTTCTTCTCCAGTTTGAGTACTGGCACTTGTTGTCATTCTTGCAAGTGAGGTAAGCAAGTAGCGCTTTGATCTAAAGTTCCGATGGAAAACGAAGATCATCAGTTCAGATAAAGAAGCGTTATGGGATTTGGTGGGGGTTGGGGTGGGGGAGTGGGGACAGGACCATCACTTCCCCAGCAACCCTTTGGGACAAGCTCTCAAATGGCAGAAAATGATCTGCATGCCTGTGAAGGCACAGAGGCAGTGTCCCATCAATGCTGACAACAGTACTTCATTCAAGAGTGGCACCAGAAATTGTCTTCTTTGCACAAATGATGTGGAAATCAAGGTGTAATGCTATAAAGTGCCTTGATGGTTCAAGAAATATCTGGATCCAGCTATGTAGCAGACACAGCTGCCAAGGCCAGCCAAGACAGTTGAAATTCTCACTGCAAACACGGACCAAAACACATGATTCAAACAATGACAACCACTTGTTCTACTTTTGGTGGGCAGTGAATCCTTGACTCACCGATGCAAAGCACAAAATCAAAGTCACAAGCATCGGCACCCAGCAATCTCTCCATCTCTCCAACTATGTGCTGCATCGTCAGGCCCTTTGTGATGCCCACAGGTCGGACCTCCACAGATCGGGCTCCGGGAACTATGTCCACCGGTGCATTTGAATGAGGGCCTGCCCTCAAATGCTGCAACAAGTCCATCGCCTGGACTCTACCAAATTCAACATCAGCATACTTGAAATTCCAAACAAGTGATGTCTCACGCTTTTCCACAAACGAACGAGGTGTGCGTTCACAGAAGTATTCAAACACCATCTGGACGCTGTCCATCCAGTCTCGAGGGAGTCGCTCGAACACTGGCAACCATTCCTGCAACGGTGGCACAGAAGGTCATGCAGTGTGGCAAACACAGCACACGTGGCTGAATGGCAACGTAACGATTCACTGAGCCTGCTGATGCAAGCCACACTAACCATCCTAAACACGAATATTTCCATGCAGTGCAAAGGAGGCAGCACCATGCTCTATCAGTTGACAAATATCAAGTGACACGAGGTTTTCTTAGTTGCCAACAAGGTCGCACCCCTTTCATTCACTCCATTCAGTTGGTGTGAGCCAGTTGCATAGTGCAGTGCAATCTTCTGTGCCTTACCGCAGTAGCTCCATGTGCAACAGATGGTGGCCTCATGTACACTCCATTCTCAGCAACAAGCCAAACAGGAAGCTGCCCAAACTGCTCCTGCAGCTTTGCACACTCGCTGCCACTGAAGATTACCACCACATTTCCTGGGTTGTAGCACAGTGCACGAATGCACTTGATAGTACTGGGGTTGACCCGTGCCAGGGCCTTCATTTGGTCGTAGTGCTTCCTGGGCTGCTTGGGTGCTTCCACAGCAGTAGTCAGGGTGGCATTGTAGCCCAAGACAATCAGCCGGCGGCAGCTGTCATTGAATGCATGGACGACAGAAGACGTTCGCAGCTGAGTGGCACAGGTATTGCATCAGACAACTTTTTGTCTCATCTATTCCCATTATTTAGGTTGCGCAGTGCAAGCCATAAGAATCGATTAGAAACATGGGAATCCAGATTGTGAGACACTGATGAGTTACCAGTACGTGACAGATATATGATGGCATCCTCCAATATGATCAACAACAACATCAGGCACCTTTGTGACTTGGGGTCAATAGCTACTTTCTTGAAGCAGAGTATCCTAAGAGATGCAAAATAGTGTGCAAATGAGGGCCTGCTCCAGCAATCTAAGCCATGAATTGAATGCTGGTGCAGCCTGGGTTACTCATGAGATAGCACATGCAACAAGGCAGCACCAACAACTCTTCAATTCCAGGTGCGATGCAGGACACTAACCTGTGGTGGGGCCTGTCGATCTCGCAAGTCTGCCTCTATATGGGTATCATTGAGTTCAGTGATAAAGTTGTCTGCCCAGCTTTGCGCTGTGTGCTTCGTCACATGGATGTAATTCACATTGTGCCGTTCTTTTCGCTCATCATCCCCCATGGTCAATGCCTCTTGGATGGACTGCAGCCAAGCATCAACATCGCGTTCATAGAACACAAACAATGCCGATGCTGCATTCAGCTGCCAAACACTGCTGAATTCCTTCATATTGCATTTGGCTAAACAGATCAAACTTCTGCCCATTCATCCTGATCACAATGACAGAAATTTACATCTCCAAAATTCCCAATAGCCCGCAGCATGTACTCTCAAGTTCGATCGATACCCTTCATTTCCGGACATGAAGTTCATGAAGGCCATGAACGTCACATTCGGGTTTGGGTTTTGGCGTTCTTTCTTAGGGATTGCTTATATGTGTATCATACCCTTCACGACCTGAATATCCGCAAATTGTATGACAGGTTTGTGAGACAAACCTCATACTGTACTCATATTTCAACCTATTTATTCGACTGACAACTGTTGCCCACATGTGATCTTGCGATGTACACCAGGAATGCCCCTGCAGTAATGCTATGCAGAGAACACTTGAGATGTATGTGGGCTACAATGGGGAGGGCTGTTGGGATGACGCTTGCACCATTCTGACAGCTATGAGAAAACAAGACCTCCTACGAACTGCAAAGAGAGAATGAGCACCTGTGTACTGGTGCCCATTTTCTGCTCACGTATTTTCCAAGCATCTCACATATGAATATCAGCACAATCAGGCAACTGCTGGTTTCCAACTACAAGGCATGCGCACTCCTGTCTGTTTGCAAACAATTTGTCAGAAGCAAACGGAAAGCCAGTGGAGACAAGGCATCATATCACACTCCGCCTTCTCATGTTGTTCATTGTCACATTGTTGAATATTCTACTTTACAGATCCCAAAGCGATGACCCCTTCCACGCAGAAAATCGAACTCCATATTGAAAATAAAATGTCTAGGAAAGAACAAACGTTTGGCTGTGGCTTGGGTGGGCCAGCTAGGTAGATGCGCTTGGACATAGGCCAATTCCCAAGCTGACGGCATGTTGAACAGTGATGTGACACTGGTCAGCAGTGATGCGAGCTTCCTTGTGTGAAGCTTTCTTCACAAGACCAACGAAAGCCCTTGAAATGCAATATCAGTGGTGATGCACGGCTTCACACAGGGCTGGTGACATAACATTCGAAGGAAACTCCAGGTTATGACTCAAACATGCAACACAGTAGTAGCACAGATCATTATCACACCCACCTGTGCCATGTCAGTTGCATTCCAAGGGTTGACCAGAATGGACCCAGCCCCTAGCGACTGCGCCGCCCCAGCAAATTCGCTTAGTACCAGCACACCAGGGGGCCCCTCAGACTCATGCTTCTTTTGGCTGATGACAAATTCATAGCTCACAAGGTTCATGCCATCGCGTAGGGACGTAACAAGGGCCACATCTGTTACTGCATACAGTGCGACGAGCTCATGGAAGCCCAGGGAGCGATCCAAGTGGTGTATTGGCACATGGGTCAAGGAACCAAACTTGCCATTTATCCTCCCGACCATCTCGTGCACCATTGAGCGCAGTTTCTGATACTCTCGGACTTTCCCCCGTGTGGGCACAGCAATCTGGACCAGTAGCACCTTCTCCCGCCATTCCTCATGCTCCTCAAGGAATTTCTCAAACGCAAGTAGCTTCTGGGGGATGCCTTTGATCATGTCCAACCGATCCACTCCCAGCATAACCTATGGACAGGGTGTAGGAAATTGTATTCCTCACAATGCAAACACCAATTTTCTGCCATCTCAAGATGCAATTAGATTCAAGCAGCTGCCACCACATACACTTTCAGAGGATCATTCTGCATTGACGTGAGCAACAGCACAGATTAACAGGAATTGGGAAGTAAATAACTTGTCATGAAACCGCATAACATGTTTACCACATGTTTGCCCTTTCTATGCCGCTTCCGTCTTCAAATCAAGGTGCAACAAGAGCAGATAGAGAGCGAATGGCCTGAAGGCACAACTTCTCCACCGATTGGTGCGCACACAAAATCGTCAATGCTTTAGGTATGTGTTGAAAAGCAGGTAGACGAAACCACACTCAGCGGATTAAGCAATAACCGCTTCTGCATATGATAACCCTGGTAAGTTAACCAAGCAAGGATGCTCACCACTAGGAAGCGCATTCCTCTTTGCATAACTCAACATCTTAGTTAAGAAACCCTAACAGCGACTTCCAAGACCTCTGTGCATCCAAAGGCAGCTGCTGCCACGCCAACATGCTCTTGGACAACAATTTGCCTTTCTGAATGCAACGAATGCACCTACTTAGCTCTGACATTGGCCTGCGACTGTAGACAGGCACCTAGCACCAGTGATTGTCTTGCAGTTCACTGTCTTCAACGCAATACAGTCCAGCAAATAAGCTCATGGGCACACAGAATGAACTGCCACATCTGCTTAGCAGGACATCTATTGTCCAGGGGGGGGACTGCATATCATCCATGAAGTTGCAAAACTTGACACCTTGGTGGTAGGGCCTTTCAGTCAGATTCAGACTCACTGCACAGTCAAAAGAGCTACCACAAGAGCCCAAGGCTGCTTCCAAATATCGCAACATTCTCAGCACTATCAAACGTCAATATCCACCTGATCTACAGAACCAGCCCATTCCAAAACTTCACTTTTCTGGGCAGCCATAGTTGCATTAATACCTACCATCAAATCAGCACAGCCATAACACCCTGCCTCAGAAATGAGCACAGCCCCCCCACCTTGTGACCCCTGTACCGAGCACGGAGCTCCTCGATCTGAGCTTTCATGCTGTCCTGCTTCAATGCCTCCGTGAACTTCTCAACGTTGATCCCAATGGGGCACGCAACCACCCGTGTCAAGTGGCCATGGTCCTCAACACCATGGGGTGTACCCTCCAAGCCCAGGATCCTTGAGCAAGACGATATGAAGTGTCTGACATAGTCATATGTGTGGAAGCCGATCAGGTCGGCCTTCAGCACAGCACGCAACACTTCTTCTCGGACAGGCAGAGTTCGGTATATCTCTGAGGAAGGGAAGGGCGTGTGCAGGAACCACCCAACCTTCATTTTTGGCTTCCTTTCCTTCAGCATGGCTGGGCAGAGCATCAAATGGTAATCGTGCAGCCAAACTGTGTCCCTGTATTACAATCGATGCCTCGCAGTTCACATTCTCAACATTGCAATATTTCAGATCGGAAGAATGCATACCACAGCACAGCAAAGCAGTACATGGCCTGCCAGCAAGCAGTGTGTCGCTTTCCTTGATGATTCCAGCAGCCAACCAGTTTTCAGTGCAATGGAATACACTATGTGGCCAGATTCATGCAAATTTGCATCATAAATATCTGCTTGCTTCCATGGGCAATATGACGACAGTTGGCATGTTGAAATGAGCATGCCATTATGCAAACTCAAGAGCAAATCAAAGCAAGAAGCAGTGCCTCTTCATTTGGCTGGCAAGTCCGGCAAACAGAAAACAAATACGCCCATTCAATATGACAAGCAATCGTGGTGGACAACCACTGTACTGGCAGCTCATAGTGGAGGCTGAGAGTTGCAGTTGCTTTCCTTGAGCATTTTGGCAGCTGCCACATTGCTGGGGTAGCACACGACTGCAGAAGATCGCAAACGAACCCCACTCCAGGACTTTGGGGAGGGCACAACACCTGGATCCATAGTTCTCCAAGATACATCTGGCAAAGGCCTCATTGGCTCCTATGTACGCTGCCCACTGTGTCTGAGCCACAGTCGTCCCTCCAAGGTTGTGCCACTGGTCAAGGTTTGGAGGGGCGTAGTGGAACAATGGCCACAGCACGCCATTGCAAAAGCCATTGTAGTAGTCAGCAACCTGAAAACCACAAACGCACCGATTAATCACAAGTGATACAAAGCATCTCGATGAGCCTCTTGTGCACCACAGCGTGGCATGTCTGCTTCAGGGAATGCAACCACTTCTCACAGCACAAGGCGCCATTAGCCTGGCGCGCAACCCCACAAACCTCAAACAAACTAATTCAGTGCATGCTGACTTGTTGCAGATATTCAGCACTTAGGTGCAAGGAGAATTGCTGTGTGTGTTAATACCAGCTGAGCACACTAGATGGTGACCAACCACATTTCAGAAAGAATGGAAGCATGACAGGACCTTGGCCCCACCATTTGTTCATCTAGGAAAACGCCAATCATGTTGTGTTCCCTCAGAACGGCTTTCAGTTCTCTCTTGTCTTCCTCAGTTTCAACACACACGCCTGCGACACGCAGCGAGGCACATCAGAAGAGTGAAATTGTGCCAACAGGCATCAATCAGCTTTGTTCAGAATTATCTCCTGATGGGACTTGGAGACTTCTTCCTTGGCTCTTGCACTATGAAACAGAATCATCACTCGCACCTGGTAGGACATGCTCACATCACAGTATTTTCTTTCATAGAAGAAAGCAGCCAGCACTGCCAAAGCAGGCCACAGTTATGTCCAATGCACACTACTAAAAGCAGGGCACATTGATGACCGTGGAGGTTCCAGCCCCACATTTCACAGGGACTCCCACCAGCATCTCTTATCTCTTCACCAGCTGAGTGACACTGCAGAAGACTGCTCTCCCACACCTCGCATATGAATGGGTGTCCATTTCATCAAATGCAGCAGAGGCAGAATTTCAGAAGAACCAGGTGCTTTTTGTCCCACACTTGCCTGGCCACCCAATCCACTTTGTGGTAATGTTGCTGACACCCAAGAGGCCACTGACAAGGCCGCCAGAAGTCACCTGGGCAAACAGCAGGCAATCAAAGGGATTGCTTTCTGATGGCACAATTTCAGGCACACCCTGCCCCTACCCAGACAGGCAGCGACAAATTGTTTTCAATGTAGCTGGGTATCTGAGTAAACAATTCGGCCACAAATTTTACCGCCCCTGACACAACAGAGACTGTCAGCATCAACTTAGAAACAAAAGACGGCTGAATCATGTCCATTAGAGAGAACAAGATTGTCTACAGGGTCAATGGCTGCATTTTCTAATTCATTCACGTCGAAAGATTCGAGTACTTCAACAAAAAGCAAGAAACCAACAGACAATCGACATGCATGGAAAGTCATATGTCCTCAAATGTGCAGGGATCTGCAAATGTCAAACGGATTGTGCCCTCGTATCATTGCATCAGCCCTGCACTCTACCCACCTCCAACTGCCACTTGCCATTTTCATCTTTGGTGGCAGTGCCAGGAAGTCGATTAGCAACTATGATGACATTCTCACTGGGGTGCTCTGACAGCGTTGACAAATGCTCACTGCTGTCCACACCATGAAAGGATGCAGCACTTTGTGTCCTCCGCATTCTCTCCTTCAACAGCCGGTTTGTGCGGTCTGCAAAACAAGTCAACAAGTAACACAGGTGTGAACCCTGCAGAATGGTGAGCCAGAAATGGTGCAACTAGGTACCCCTGGTCCCTGCATGTACGTCAGCCAGGGCACCATCCCTATGAACGAGCCGCAATGGCATTCACAGCAACAGCTGCGCAAAAATAACGACGCCAAACCCCTGAGGGGCAGGTTGAGATTGCTGTAAGCACAGCTTGCCCATTTGCTTCAGCGCACTTCGCAGCCTTGCTGCACAATTGCTTGAATGTCTTCAGGGGGTCGCATGGCGGGTTTCCTAGCAAACCGGACTTGACACACGCAAATCTTCAGGCCCTGATTTCGACCCCTCTGGCTCTCCTTTGACGACGTCTCCTCCCGTCCAACCTGCGCTCCCCCATTCCATGTCCATCCGCCAACACACCGGAAATGCTCCCTTGCCCCCCCAATACTGTGCGAGATACCCATCTCCTCCGCCTGGGAAGGGGAGACCACCACCACAGCAACAACCCCGCCTTCTTGGCCCATCCGCACTCACCAACCCCACCGCCGCTCCGCTCCCATCCCCCACACCCCGATTCCCTCCGCACTCACCCGCGCGCGTGGCCATGTGGATGGAGTCCGACCTCGCCATCTCCACCTCCGACTTGTCGCTCTCCGCGTCGCCGCCGCCCGCGTTCATCTGGGACATCACCGACATCCAGGCCGTCGAGATCGACCCACCCGAGCCGGGGCTGTCCCCCTCGGGGCGATCCGCGGCCGGCTCCGATCCGTCGGGGCCGCGCCCGCCTTCCCCGCGGGGCGCGGCATGTGCCGGGCCGCCGTCCTCCAGATCCGTCAGCGTGTCAATGGGGGGCAGGGGGGCGGGAACGCACGATCAGGGATCGCCGACTTCAGGTCCGCGCCAGAAGCCCGCGTGCGGGCAACCGGGCTTGGCCGCCGGCGGCCTGCGCGGCCCAGTCAAGTGGTGGTGGCGGCGGGGGCTGTTCGGGCGCCCTTTGGCGTGGCTTGCACGGGAGGATATCACTTCCGGGGAGTGGTGGAAAAGTTGAAGGGGATGGCAAAGATGGCGGTGGAGGGTGGGCCGGGGTCGTCAGAGGCGTACGTGGCTCGCACAGCGAGCGGCCATGCCGCCTGCGGAGTGCGGCCTGCGGGGACGGGCGGCCTAGTGCCCGGACTGCGCGTACGCGGCCGACATTGCGCTGTGGGGCCGACTGCTGCGCGAAGCCACGGGACATCCGGGGAAAGCCATGGAGGCAATCCAACATGTCGACACCGTCAGCGCCAGATTTTTCCCGACGTTCTTGCCGCCCCGTTCCTGTGGGCAAGACTCGCAAAAAAGACAGGCTATACGCAGAGGGCACCCCCTCCCAGGCAAGTGTATGCGAGGCTCTTTTCCATGCTGTGAAAACGATGATATAGAGCCTCCAATGCGAAAGATGAGTACACAGCACACCGTTCCTGCGGGCGTTTCGTGTTGTTTGTTCTCTTCTGTCTGCGTCGTGGAATTTTGCCACCTGATGCATCAACGCGCCAGGTTGGCACTCCCCAACTGGCTGGATCATTTAAAAGGTGCAGGGTTTCATCTGAAGGGAGTGATGTGACTCGACGACGTCCTGGAGAAAACTGGCCATTCCGCTTTTCAGGAAACAACAAGGGCTGCTTGTGCCAGTGAATGCGTTTGTGTCAGCTCTTGCCGAAATTGCGCATGAGCCAAGTTGAAGAGTCGACCTCGATTGAAGAATACCGCAGTGCTACCACTTTGATGTTCAATATCAAAACTTGCATTGCCAATCGCCAACCAATAAGATCTGGCTCATGTCTTGGGTCTACAATGCACATACAGTTTGAGAGCATCCACCCAGCCCACGAGGCACCAATTATTCTTAGAAACAAGCCAATTGAGCTTCTCCTTGTTACGCACAAGATTGTGACGACTCTGACATTGTGTCCAGTGACTGCTGATCATCATTTAACTTTGTTAACACAGCCGCCAAGAACCCGCAGGCTTTCTTCATTTTACAATCAACTGAATTTCGAAGTTCGCATCCATACAAAGGTGAGCACTAGAATATGTGGCGCACAACCGTAGTGACGATGTGCTTGGCCACTCGCCAACTGCAAGGAGAAACAACTTTTCCCACAGATTTCTGCGTCGTCACCACAACACCCACAATGGATGCTTTTCGCCTCGGGAAAGGCAGTACTACCCTTGCAAGTTCATGGACAAGCCTGACGACAAATTCAATCATTACTACACATCACCCAGCGCATTTTTCAGTATCATTCCACCACATCTGTCCATTCTATTTAATCATCAGTACCGATGCGTCCGCCCTTGCCGTCGACCCTTTGGTGCAGCAAAGCACCGAATTGTCTACCTTGTGCTATGAATTGCAAGCATCATCATCATTTGTAAACTGCCTTTGGCTGCGTGCCAACTGGCCCAGTTCTTCGTGGCACGATATTGCCACTTCCAAAACCTGATACAGTTGGCCACAAGCCATTGGTTTCCTTCCATGCAGGCGAGGAGAACAAAGGTGTAGAATATCGTTGCATTTGTCGGCACGCCGGTCCTGCATTTCCTCACAGCACCTGTCCAACTCCAGCACACGGGCCTGCTTGACTTGGCACTCTTGCCATCGATATGTCCAGCCAGTTGCAGCCTACGCATTACAATGATACGCATGTGCTGCACCCCAACAGGGTGCTTAATGTTGGCTGCGTCTGTGCTGGATGGGAAGGCACTATTGGAATCCCTGCAGCTCAACGTCGTCCCGAAATTTAAGGTGTCTCACAAGTCGGTCTCGAGGCTCATTCCGCTTTCTCCGCCAGTACCAAATGAATGCCATGATCGCACCAAACAAAACACCAGTTACCAGCGCAATCACAATAGCACCAACGAGGTTAGCGCCCGATCCCCCTGAAGAAGCATCGGCCATCGAACTACCATCACCCATCTTCCCCGCCAATGTGCTGTTCATCACTGCGTTCGTCGAATTGCGCAGCAGATCCGCAAACTCCTCTTCGTGCTCAACTTCCTCCGGCGTCACAGAATTGTCCAGAGTCTCGTCCAGAGCCTCTGCTTGTGCTGCCATGTTGCCCCCACAAACATCAACCACAATCGATCCCGACACGCCACCAAGCGGACACGTGAAGTTGTTCCCAGCAACATACACCTTGCGCGTCTCCATGTACGACTCTGAGTCTGTGAAAAAGAACTGCGGAAAGTCCCCAGTAAGGTTGTTGTTGCGGGCATCCAGCACCCCGATCTCTGGGGCTGTGAACCGAAGCGAAAAAATTCCGAGATCAGACCAGGACTCATGCACAGGGCCCCCAAATGCGTTGGAAGAAATGTTTAAGAAATTCAAACTGGGAAAGAGGCCGGTTTCGTTTGGCAATGGCCCATCCAGCCTGTTGTCACTCAGATCCAATGCCGCCAGATTGTCTGCTCTGCCAAGCGCGGCAGGGAACTGTCCCTCCAACAGGTTGCCAGAGAGGTCGAACATGCTCAGGGCCTGGAAAATCTGCCCACCCTCATCACTCCACCTCATGGGCAGCGTCGTCAACTTGTTGCCGCCCGCCGCGAAGGTCGTGAGGAATGGCAGTCCCCCAAGGCTTTCAGGCACCGATCCCGTCAGGGCATTCCCCGTCAAGTTCAGCCGGGACAGCATCCGCCCGTTCTCCAGCAGCGACGCCGGGATCTTCCCGTCCATGTTGTTCTCACTCATGGCAATTGCCTCCAGGGGGGATCCAACGGGGACGACGTCCGGCAGGCTGCCCGTCATATCGTTCCTGCAGAGATCAATATCCAGGAGGGAGCTGCCTGCGGCCAGCAGACATGCCGGCAAACCCCCGCCAATGAGGTTGTCCTGCAGCCGCAGCACCTGCAGCCCCTTGGTCGCCATTTCACACACTCCCTGAGCGCCGGTCAGCGACCCATGGAGCCGCGTGGAGGCCAGGTCCACGTGCGTCAGGTTCTCAAGCGCCGCCAGCCCCGCGAAAATCTCCTCCGCCTTGCCCGACAGCAAGTTGCCGCCCGCCCGCAGCTTCTCCAGCGACCACAGCGCGCCGACCTCCTGGAACGGAAAGTGGCAGCTGAGGTTGTAGCCCTCCAGGCTCATCACCAGCAACCTCCCGCCCGAGTCGCATATGTTGCCCGCCACGTCGCACAGGTCCGTGGCGACGTCCTCGCCGGCGTCCTCGGGCGCGTCGGGCCACGCCGCGCAGGCCGTCCTGCTGGGACAGCACCTGTCGTAGATTCCCCGAACCGCATCCCGCTGCTCCTCCACCAGATCCAATCCCCCCACCGTCAAGCCCAACTCGAGGCTGAACTGCCCCCCTTGCGGCGACGTGTCCTCAATCACGCACAGAAACGCCGCCGCCTCGAAGGTCCCCTCCCCGCCGTCTCCGCGCGACGCGTTGACGGTCGTCACCGCTGAGCGGTAGGCGTCCGATTCCGAGGACATGAACACCGCGTCCAGGCCGTGGCCGTCGGCGGAGACCCACGGGTACTCCCCCCGCGACAGCCGGGCGCCCTCGCTGGCCGCGGCCGCCCAGGGTGCGCAGAACAGGGCCGCATTTCCTCCCTCGCCGGAGGGACGCAGCCACAGGGACACGTCCGGGAATCCGCCTGCATCCACTTTCGTCACTCCGAAGCGCAGCACGCGCTGCCCGCCGCTGCCCAGAGTGTCCACGATTGGCTCCCCCCGCCTCAATCGCTGGATGTCGGTGTCGTTTTCCAGGTCGATGGCGGGCAGCAGGCGGACCAGGTGATCGCCGGCGGGAACCGGGGAACTGTCCTCGCCGGCCGGGCTCTGACCCCGGGCCAGAATCAACAGCGCGCACAGCGCGGCGCTCCGCGCCAGAGGCGTCAGAGAAGCTGCGCCGCGCTCGGCGCGGTCCATGAAGCCGTGCCTCCGCCCAGCCAGAGAACGATGTCAGTACGGGGTTGCTGGGAACGTCGCGGATGGGCGGACGCGCCTCGGCGCGTCGCGCGTCCGACGCAGGGCACCCTCGAACTTCACTGGCCGCGACGGAGGCCGCACGGGCGGGGAGGGGGGCCGCCTTCGAGGGTGTGGCGCCCACGCTGTCCAAAGGGGTGCTGTCACGAATTCTGTGTGCTGTGGCACGGGCACACCAATGTCGTACTCCGGGGACCCTTACTGCGCGGATACGGTACCGTGAGAGCCTTCTTTCCTCCGAGGCTGCACAGTTGCAGAGATCGACCCAACCATGATGAGCAGCCCCACAGCTCTGGTAAAGCAGTTCAAACACCAAAAAACCAGACACCTGGATCTCGCCATGCTACAGTCAACAACATTCCTTGCGGCCGAAGAGTCGCTCCCGCCCGGAATTTACATGGAGAAAGGTCAAATCCCGCACGTTTTCTGATCAGCTGCGTGTGGAAGCATTGCCATTCTGTGCTGGTGACACCTGGGTTGCGTGTTGGTGCCTCTTGCGTGGCGTTTCACCAGGGCGGTTGCCACACTGGGAACAATCACCAGACGCCACAGCGGATGCGCACCAACACAACGTGCTTCCCATGCCGTTCACCTCTCACTTCAATGGCCTTTCAACGCTGTAGGTTTTGGGGTCGTTGAAGGCACACATCGCGTGGAAATGAGCAAAAGGATTCGCCGTCTTCTCCATCTGCGGCACAGAAACTTCGAGAAGCGCTTAACCTGGCCGTTGGCCGCAAGTTTCAGCCTGAATCCGTGAAGTACTCAACTTCGAACGTTTCTCCCGGCCAAAACCGCGAACGTTATCGCCCGCGGAAGTTTTTGCCAAACTAGTTCACTGTCCTATGGAAGCGAGTCAACAGAACAACGGTCGTTGTACAAAGCGATGGCCTGACTGCAATGGCATCCTGCACCACACACCCTGCAAGCAACGTGTGTGCGTGGCAATCACAGCTATTCCATTGGATCTTCAGCGAATTATGACGCCAGTGAAGTCAACGTTCAAAGTGCGACGCCGACGTCGAAACTGTCCACAGCATAACGCAGCAGTCTGACACTGTCCCCGCTGTCACACTCATCGTCCTCACACTTGTAATTCCCATTAACTATGTACAGTTTAGAGTTGTATATCGACACTGCTGTAACGATTCGCTTCTTCCCACGGATGCTGTCAACTTTGTAGTCATACGTGTAGAGAACGCCGCCTTGCTCCCCAGATCTTCGACTTTCGTCCAGCATTTGAACGTCGATGAAACCATCCTGCACAAGCAAACGCCGCCCTGATCAAATCGGCCAAAAACAGGCGCTGGGCACTAAGATGAGACCCATCCATTCGATCGGTACATGATGTAAACATCCATAAGCCACACATTGATGCAACAGAGATCTGTCGGAAGACACTGATAAACAAACGCCATACGATGTCTTTCAACGGCGATTGGCAAACGCTTGCCTACAAACAAGTATCTGTCCTTGTCATTAAGATACCGCATTGTCATTGCTGGAAATGGAATCCAAGGGCAAAATTTGTTGGCTCCAAGTGGGGCAACATACGAAAACAAAAGAACTTTGCAGCACAACAAGCCCAGGGAAAAGATTTCGAGCCCCACTCCGGGTCTGAAATCCCAAGGTGCAACAGCAAGGGTTGGTCCCATTTGGATAAGTGCTATCAAAAACTCATTGTTGCTGCCCAGCTAGGTTCACCCAGGCTGCTGCCAACCTTGTTCCTCTCAGCCGTCAGGAGCTTCTCACCAACGACCTCCAAATCCCCAAATTCCTTCAAGTCTTTTATCCTAGATGGTGACACGGTCACCCCAACCGTCGTGGAGGGGCGCACAGGGTCCTTGAACAGAGCGTCCGCCCCAGCTTTGTCTACTTTCTCCCAAGTTTCAGGAACTGCCAAGCGGTACAGCTGCACTGGGCTCCTGAATTCTCTGAATTGAGGCTCTGCCGCCCTGGCTGGCAAATGCACAGTTCCTTCTCAATCAATTCGACCCAGGGTGCTGATAGACGCCACACAACAGTGCGGTCTGTCTGTGCATTAGATGTGCTTTGAAGCAAGGAATTAGCTCTTGTGCTCAAGGATGCACATTGTTTCACATGCCAGCATAAGCTTGAAGGAGAATATACACACTGAATCTGTACACTTAGGAGGAAGCCATCAAAACTTTTTGAGCCTATCAGCCGCAAATTTGTGCTGGATGCAATTCGAATGCCCCGAATTACATTGTGGCGACGGTTTTGTGTCTCTCAACAGGAAAGCACTCCGCTGGTGACCATGGCATTTCTTATCAGTGCACGCACAGAAATGTGGCAGAAACCCAAACGGCAGCAATCGATCAGCAGAAATCGGATAGTCCATTCCCTGTCATGGCCTTTCGGGTGCTGTGGCTCTGCTCTTCTGTGGCATTTTACATCTGCTAGCGACGTAACTAGCGGCAGATATCCAGCTGTGAACTGCACCTTACCTACTTGGCCAACACATTTCCAGCGACATTGCCGCCGAAACAATCATCAGCCCCCTCCTGGACCAGCTTTGCAGATCCCAGCCATCGGCCGCACACCCACCATCGATGCATCCAATGGGTTCGCAGGACTCCAGCACACCGTCCACGCAACCCGCACCCAGGCTCAGGATGCTCTGACGGCGCGATGACTGCCCAACGCCACCGTCAGTTGACAGGAAGGAGGGGGCATCGCCGCGCGCAGATCGCACGCCCGGGCCGTGCCCAATGCACTCTCCAGGGGACGAAGCGCGCTCCCAATGTGAGGTCCCAGATCCGATCCTTAACGCGCGAGAATGCCACGTGGGCAGAGGCGCCGTCAGAGCAGACGGCGCGGGCGCGGGCGGCATGCGGCCAGCCAACTCCCGTCGCTCGGGCGCGACACTGGATAAGCGCCAAGAGGCGCAACAGCCCCTTCCAACAGGATGGTCCAACCGGAACCATCCACAGCTGATGTCCTTGTTTGCCTTCCCTTTCTCCCGCCAGTGCAAACCTGAACTAAACTACGGAGCTTCTGGCGACCGGCCTGACCCACGGGTGTGTCAGCGCTTCCCAGGCGTCGATTCTGGCAACCCCTTCCCCGTGTCCTCCGCCCCCCAGGCGCCCACTGGCCCCGTGCCATGGCGCTCAGCTTCTCCCTGGCCGGCGCCAGCATCAAGACCTTCAAGTCCGTGGTGCAGTCACAGGGCAAGACGGGCTCCGAGCTGCTGATCGAGGCCTTCCCGGAGCGCCTGGTCCTGCGCGCCATCAACTCCGCGCACTCCGCCTACCTCTCCGTCACGCTGGGCGCGGACTTCTTCGATTCCCTGTCCGTGGGCGGCCCCGTCGTCCAGGCCGCCGTCCTGGTCAAGCACGCCTGGGCGGTTCAACGCGGCGACTCCGGCCTGCGCAAGTCCTACCGCCTCCAATGCCTGGACTCCGACATCCTCTCCGCTACGGTGGACGTGGACGCCTACCCGACCCGCATGATCGCCGGCGCGCCGGAGCTGTCCCGCCTGCTGTCGGTCTTCCAGGGGTCGCTGGAGGAGGTGACGATCATCGCCCGCGAGGCCGCCGGCCCGCCGGGCTCCGGCTCCTGCGAGCTGCGCAGCTTCTTCGACCCCGCCAGGGGCAGCGCGTCCGCCGCGCTGCACTCCCAGGTGTCTGTCGACGTGCGCAGCGCCTTCCTGGAGTATTCGCATTCCGCTTCTGGGCCCAGGGACGCCACATTCAACCTCAAGGACCTCCGCGTGTTGGTGTCACTGTGCGAGACTCTGGACGCGGACGTCGCGATTCGGATCGACGAGCCGGGATGCCCGCTCATAGCGGAGGCCCAGTGGCCGCATCACAGGCGCAGGCGCGACGCTGACGTCAGGGCGAGGCTGGTGCTGGCCACGCTCACGGACTCCCAGGTGGGGACCGGAAATGGGGGCGGCCAGCCGCGGGGATCCATGCCCGAGAGGTCTGATGCCGGGCGGAGCCAGACGCAGTGGGAGGCGGTGGGAGGGGGGCAGGCATCCATGGCCGCGGGCAGAGGCGGGTGGCCGAAAGATGGCCGTGGGACGGGCGGCAGCAATGGGATGCAGCCCGGTGTGCAGCGCGGGGTTGGCGGATTTGATGATCGGCGAGGGAAGGCTGGCGGTGATGCAGGGTGGAGGGCGGGGGGGAGCGCGACGGCGGGTGGGGCGTCGGCCGAGGGCGGAGGCCAGCAGGGGAGGGTGTCCAGCCGGTTCGGCGACGAGCCCCAGGCGAGGGCGGCCAGGATGGATGGGGAGGTCTTGGCCGGGCGGGGGGAGCGGCAGGGCGGTGAATTGACGTCAGGATCTCGGGGGAGGGGAAAGTCGACGAGCCCCAGGGGCTCGTCTGCTCTTGAGAGACTGTCGAGGAGACTGTCGAAGGCGGCGATGGGGCCGGGGGCAGAAAGCGGGCATTGGCAAGCAGGTGAGGACGAACGGGCTGGAAGCCGAACTGAGGAAAACCTGGCGCGGCAGCCGTCGTGGGGAAGCGATGAATTCTAGCGGAAACATAGGTTGGGTGTTCAAGGAAGCAAATTTCGTGAAACTCACCCATTCTTGACTGAAGCCAGTGCAGCAACGACAGTTCGGTCCAGGGTGTTCTCGACTCCAGTTGCGCGACAACAGGATGCGTGCTTGCATGGTGGCGCACATCCTCCAAAGCTTCCTCTACTCGAAGCCGTCACCACACACTGTGAGGCATCCCTTGAGGTGCTTTTGCAGGCTAAGTGCCAAACGAGAGCCACCCCATTCTGAGTGGCATCAGCATGCCATACCCATGCAGCCCGCCTGGCAGCCATGCCCACAGAGAAGGGAGCACAAAACCAAAGCTTCAGGCTTAAGGGCGCTTCAGTTGCAGACACTGTTGGGGCATTGCCGGTTCTTCTCAAAGCATTACAGCCCAAATGTAGTATCTACCAACATGGGTCTGCATATCAGCAGTTGGGCACCGCCCACTGCATAGTTTTCAGTTTTGAACGTTCCAACAGACTAAATTCCCAAAGCGCCCAATCGCGCTGCTAAGCCCCCAAAACTGCTTCATTCTTACCAAAGCAAAAAAGCCCTATGTAGCATCCATGAGCACAGCACCCGCATATCTTGTGCAATTTTGGCTGGGTGCTTCAAAAAAAATGTGACGAATCAGGTCACCAGGCAAAGAATGCACTTAGTACAGGTCAACCCGATTCTCTATGTGCAAACCTCTGCCACTGCCATCCCTAATGTGGCTGCTACAGCAGCAGTCAGTTGACATATGCTTGCCCGCCACAAAGACATTGCCTGACATCAATTGAAGCCACCTCACAAATCACCGCTTCAGAAGCAGAGTGCTGTTAACCAAAACGAAGTCTTGCCCGCCACACAACCATCGAGGGCTTCACAGCTCTCTGAGCAACCTTCCTGTGGTCATGTGCAGAACCGATGCACCCCCAACCAAGCATAATGCGCCCTCCAATCTCACGAGCATACAATCTGCCACTTGCAGCTGACATACCACCCACGAAATTATGCTCCCGAAACTCGTTGAAGAATACTATCGAACGATCATGCAAGCTCTCCCATGGATGCTGCTTGAAACCCTAGCTGCTACATCGCGCCTTTCCAACAACCCCAAATCCCACCAGGTGCGCCCGGCAGGCACACATGCCACAGCCGTTTTCACAAGCTGCTAAGAATGAATCAAATCTGCAAAAGAAACTGGGAGCAGATGTGCATGCTTCACTTGTGCAGCCAACTTTCAGCGTGCGCTCTGATGTGCATGTGGTGCGCAGCGGAAGCCTGGCTGCACCATTGCCTCCCATAGGCCCATGTATGCCATCCAATGGGCAAACTCCAACATGAGGCAGGGATGCTGAAAACAGCAAGGTGTGCCATCCACCCTTCAAGGCAAGCACCGCAGCTAGACCACTGACTGGCAATGTGGTTCGGTCTGCAGGCTAGCCACTGAGTTTCAGGCAATCCACCAATCCAAAATCGCCTCGAACCAATCACAAAATTGCCATCGTGCCATAAATGACACTTCATGATCGCGTTTTCTCCGTTGTGGGTTCATCAGTGCCATCCTCCAGCTTTGCAGAGTCCCCTGAAAGTTGAGCAAACAAGCTGGAGCCGATGATCAGAGCAGCACCCACCCATCCCATAGCACCCCAGCGCTCGTGTAACCACAAGTATGCAAAGAGGGAGCCCCACACGGGCTCGGCAGTATAGATCAAGGCCGCCAGGGGAGCAGAAACCTCCTGCGATTGAACACAAGAAATAAGTTGACAGTGGCGGGCACAACAGCAATGCGGTAGGCACAGGCAACCTCAGGCTCTAACAAGGTGTCATGTCAACCAAACACATTGGCTGGCAGCATATGAACTGTTGCACCACTTCACCACAAGTACCACCAAGCCCACCAAGAACCACAACCACCACTTCAGTACTTAACAACCAATGCTCAACCAGCACTGGGGTCCCCTGTATTGACAATAGTCACAAAATCTCCTTGCCTTGGCTCACATTCGGCCCCAGCAAGAGCACAGGTCCTGTCAAGAGTTTCCCAGCCGCCATTTTGATCAATCAAGAATAATTTGGAACAAAAGCAAACCAGGTGTCAAAGCAACCCAGCTTCTTTGGCTATCATCCGAGTTTCACAGGCACAGTTTGACCACAGCTGTGCCAAACAATGTAGCCCCAGGTTTGTCCCAGCCCACCTTTAGCGAAGTCATTTCCATCCACAGCGTCAGGGCTGTTGTTCCCAAGCCCATGTATGCAAGTGCAGGCCACGGCAGCCCCTTTGCATGCTCCACGAGTTGAGGTATTGTTGTGAAAGTATTGTTATGGAGAGCGTGCCACAACTCTGGCAGGCAGTACACACTTGCGGCACAGGCCAGGAAAAAAATCTGCACAGCCACCAGCTCGCTCGTCTCCTCGAACTGGGCCGTCAGCTCCTCAGACCGCCACTTGTGCACGCCAAACAGTATTGCAGAGCAAATGCACCACGCATCTCCAACATTTGGGTTTGGACCACTGGTGGTCAGGAGACCAACGCCTGCCAGTCAGGACAGAAAGCAAGCATGGTTCACCAACCAGCACGTTTACATGGCAGTGCAGGCTATTTCGAATTGGAGCAATCTTGCCCACGGCCCTCAGTGCAAGCAGCATAACTCACGATGTCTTGAAGGATTGGGTGACCACTACAACAACCGACGTCAAGCATTCTTTTCATTTACTTTGCATGGCCAGTAGAGCTGAATGCACGTTGCGTAAGCTGCCTCAGACATGCATGCAAGTGCCAATTCCCAGACCACCAGCTGGAAGAATGCGCATCGTACATTAGCATCCCCATTCTATGCTACGTTTACCATGCATGTGCTGTCAACGGCATTCCCACCACTTTCTCCACCACAGCTGCAATAGGCGAGGCAGCTTGCCACTCTGTGCACATTGGAGGCATGGCAAATTGCTAGATTGCACCATGGCAGATTCAAAGGGTACTTGTCAGGTGCAGGCGAATGCCGTTTCGGTTCAGAATGCCATAGACAGAGCAGGGACGTCCTGTCAGACGAGCTCAACACCATTGGCGGTAACAAGGGTGCATGTCCCCACTCAAGCTGTCAGAGCCATTAGCTCTCCTTCCATTTGGTGACAATGTGACCTAAACCTGCAAGAATCGCACCAGCCGTGACGACTTGAGACCTTCACCCGGGACAACCCATCCTGGGCTTGTGTGCGCAAGAATCGCAGGCCATGGTCCCTGGGGCCCACCCACAAAACAGAGCAACACGACTCGCGGTGCGCGTTTGACTGGTGTCCAAGCGCGGGCGCACGGTTGAAGCAAATGCACTCCGCTGCCTCCGCCGAAAAATGTGGGGACAATTCACGACCAGGTCCTTCCGAAGCTCACCAAGTAGCGCCACAGCGGCCGCCGCCCACGTGCTTGGGCTAATCTTCCTCCCGGACAAGCCCACCAGCATAGGCACCACCAGGACGGTGAAGGTTCCCGTGAAGGCGCCCCTGGACGCGGAGGTGGAGACGAGGCCCAGCGCCTGTGCCGTGTAGCCGCCTGCGAACCCGCCAGCCGAAAACTCAGGCCGCCCAGGACCATGCGGGACCGCGGACACAGCGCCATGTCGCGCAGCAGCCGCCAGGGCCACCGTCGGCGCGTGGCGAGGGGGCACAGGACGCCTGTGGTCTGCGCCGCCAATTCAGTACGCAGGCAACATGAGTTCTGTGGATTTGCTGAACTTTTCTCTCGTCTGGGTCCCTATTGCGCACGTCGACGGCGTACTTTGCGGCTTGCGCTCGCGGAACTGCGCACACGACCAGAAAAGTGCGCACAAGATCTCACAAAAAAATGAACAGAAGCCAACGCGGCACAGCCGGCGCGAGGCCTGCGGGCTCCCGCGCGGCCCTACTCACCGAACAGCCAGCAGCCCAGCTCGAACGCCGCCGACCTCAGCTTCGGCATCTGCAGCCCCCTGACTATCGAGGGCGAGAACGCGACGGCGGCGATCAGGAACCTGATGGCCGACAGCGCGCCCGGCGACAGGTGCCTCTCCGTCGTCTTGATAACCACCTGGTTCGACCCGAACATCGCTGCGCCCAGGTTCAGCAGCAGCAAGCCCTTGAGAGAGCCGGAGAACATCCCCTCCGCCGTCTCCACCTCCTTCCCCGCCCCATCCTCCTCGTCCGCGCTGCTCATCGACTCCGCCTTGCTCCCGGCCACCCGCGCCAAGGACATCGCTCCGCTTGCGTCAACATTGACCTCGCGCGGCGCCACCGCCACGCCCTCCCCCGCCGCCACCGCCTTAGACTTCTGCCCCAAATCGGTGCCGTGGCGCGGCGCCAGCAGCTTGCGTCCCTCCGCGACGCGCGGATCGCGCCGCCCACCTGCCCAGCGCCACGCCAGCCAGGTCAGCCACCGCCGACCACTTTTCCATCCCCGGCAATGGGCATTCTTTTCGGCATCGCGCCGCGCACGCGCACCTGGCGCATCCAGCACTTCAACGGTTGATTCTGTTTCCGTTGCCCGCAAGGGCCTCAGGCGCTTGAGCAGCCTGCGGGGATCGGATCGCCACGGCGCGGGCACGCCCAGCGGCGCGAAGGAAGCCATGGCGCCGGCTGCGACCTCCGAGATGCGTCGCCCGCCCGCTGCAGCCGGAGGACGGGACCGGGGGCCCTTCGCAGCGCGAAGGGAGGGTTCGTGCTGGCTTAGGGTCAGGGCATGGGGCGCACCGGGGCCAGGCGCGGGGCGGCTCGCTGTGTGGAGAGGATGTGGGAAGGCGTGGGGGGGTGCGCGGCCAGTCATTTGGGCGCCGGGCTTGTGGGCAGCGCGTGACTAGGACGGAGATGAGGGCCTGTGTGGCGCGCACGAGCCGTCTGGGGATGGTGAGCGAGCGTCGGACGTGGGGGGGGGGTTGGTCGCTGGGCCTCGCGATGACCGCAGTTGCGGCAGAAAATTACTGGCTGCACCAAATCGGTGACTGCTTGCACCAAGTCACCTGCACATCATGTCCAACTCCGTCCAAACTAACCTAACCTAAAACCTAAACCCTAAAACCTTAACCTAAACCTGTCCTAACCCTAACCCTAACCCTAAAACTCACCCTGAAACTAAACCTAACCCTAAAATTGAGGTTAGGACAAAGTGTGCACGTGACTTG